TTTTTCCACAATGATATGAGTTGAGCTGACGTTTCCATTTAATTTCACATAGCCTTGCTTTCCCAAAAGTGTTCTCATCCAGGGTGGACTACAGTTTCGACCTCGCAACGGTCTTATCAACACCCCCAGCGGGAGTCGAACCGTGACAGAGCAGAATGGAAGCTTGACACGTTAACCACTCGACCACATTGCCACGAGTGCCCTTGGGTCACAAGGCAGATATGAATTTCAAGGAAGGCCAGGCCTTTTTTGCCATATCATATTCTTTGATGGGATTGTCGTTGAAGCAAACGTATATTTACTACCAGTCATTCATCACCTCAAACGAAATAGGATGAATACATCTCATATTACTGATTAACTGGTAGTGTCAAAACTCTACTCAAATACGAAAAAATAAGTAACGTATTCGTATTAGAAAAGGGTTTCGAGACTACCAGTAAATCAGTGTAATGAGATGTATTCACCCTATTTCGTCTAAGGTGATGAAGGAATCGAGACTACCAGTAAATCAGTGTAATGAGATGTATTCACCCTATTTCGTGTAAGGTGATGAAGGACTGGAAGTGACTACCAGTAAATCAGTGTAATGAGATGTATTCACCCTATTTCGTGTAAGGTGATGAAGGACTGGTAGTCGACTACCAGTAAATCAGTGTAATGAGATGTATTCACCCTATTTCGTGTAAGGTGATGAAGGACTGGTAGCAAAATTGTCCCACAACAATGATATGAGTTGAGCTGACGTTTCCATTGAATTTCACATAGCCTTGCTTTCCCAAAAGTTGTTTTCAACCTTGCTTTAATCAGTAATACGAGATGTATTCACCCAATTTCGTTTTAGGTGATGGAGGACTGGTAGAAGAAGAAATTTGCCACGAATTGATATGAGTTGAGCTGACGTTTTCATTGAATTTCACATAGCCTTGCTTTCCCAAAAGTTGTTCTCATCCAGGATAGAGTTTTAGCTGACTCTTGCTTTCCCAAAAGTTGTTCTCATCCCGATATGAGTTGAGCTGACGTTTCCATTGAATTTCACATAGCCTTGCTTTCCCAAAAGTTGTTCTCATCCTGCTGAGGTGGACTGCAGTTTCGACCTCGCATTGGTCTTATCAACACCCTCAGCGGGATTCGAACCGCGAAAGTGCAGTACGGTAGGTACCTGCAGTTTCGACCTCGCATTGGTCTTATCAACACCCTCAGCGGGATTCGAACCGCGACAGTGCAGGACGCTAGCTTGACACGCTAACCACTCGGCTACACTGCCACGAAACCCTACTCTAATACGAATATAAGTAACGTTGTCGATTGCTATAGAAAACATACGTTTGCTTCATCGGCACTTGCACCAAAAGAATATGATTTAGCAGAGGCCTGACCCTCGTTGAAATTCACTTATGACCTGTGACTCAAGGGTACTCGTGGCAGTGTAGCCGAGTGGTTAGCGTGTCAAG